TTCATTAAAATGGAAAATGTGTTACTAGTTCATAGAGGTGACGCTGCCCACTTCCCTCTGCATGGTACCCTGTGGGCTACCCCGACAGAAGCCTTGGCTTCTCATCAGTGAAGGCTTTCCATATTGACCATCTGCGAGTCTGCAAGAGCCTACCTGGTCCTCTAGCCTCTGGGCTCCTTTACAAACCCTCAAACTGCATTTGGCCACCACAGTGCTTTCAGCTGTGAGCCTGTTAATTGCTCTGCTCGGTGGTCCCTCTCCAGGCCTGGCTCAGGAGTTGACCTTCAGCTTTGTGGTAGACAGCCCTATATGAGGGTAGGCCATACTCTGGGCCTAGGTTGACATGGAGCACAAGCCTCCTGCTTCTGCCCTTGTGGAGGGCCCTGGCTTTGTGTCCAGAGTGTAGTCAGGACCGCCTACAGGCTTAGAGAGCTGTAATGGTCCATTTTAGTGAGACTCCACACTGCTTAGGTTCCTCACACCACACACCATGTAAACTAAACAAGGTGGGCTTACCTCAAGGATGTTGGGAGTGAAGGATGGAAAAGGGGTTCTGGTTGAGCTTCCCAGCCTTGGTGAGCCAGACAGTTGTAGGCCCAAGCCTGCCTCACTGTGGTGTCCGGGGGCAGCTTTTGTTTCTTTGTTAACAGTTTTGTTGAGATATAATTCATATACCATCCAGTTTATACATTTAAAGGACACAATTCATTTAGTTCTTAAGTCTATTCGTAACTTTGTGTAGTCATCACTACAATCAGTTTTATTTCATTCTATATTCTTTTTTTGCCTTAGAATTTTAACTTTGTTGGGTCTTAAGTGGCCTGGGCTGGTTTTGAACTTGCTATGTTGCTAAGATTGACTTTGAACATCCTGATCCTCCTGCCTAAGCCTCTTCAGTGCTGGGATTACAGGTGTGCACCACGGTGCCTGGCTCAATTTTAAAACTTTTTTTTTCTTTTCTTTAAATTCACCTAACAACTGTCTGTAACTCCAGTCCCAGGGGATCTGACAGTCTCTTCTGACCTCCGAGGGCATTGCACGACACGGGTTCACTTACCTACATGCAGGCAATACACGCATACACATAAAATAAAAATAATTAAAAAAAAAAAACCTCAAAAGAAATCTGCCCCCTTAGCAATTACTGTTTATTTTATATGTGTGAGTGCCTTGCCTGCATGTGTGTAAGTGTACCACATGCATGCAATGGCCACAGGTGCCAGAAGATCCCTTGGAACTAGAGTTAGGGATGGTTGTTAGCTGCCATCTGGGTGCTAGGAACCAAACCCAGATCCTCTACAAGAGCAGCCAGTACTCTTAATCACTGAGCCACCTCTTCAGCCCCTCGGGCAGCTTTTTGACCTGTCTGGTTTCCTTACTGCTGTTTGACACAGCCTCCTATGTACACAGGCTTCATGTACATCATGTTAAGTTGTTTTATTATTTATTTTTAGACAGGGTCCCTCTGCAACCCTAGCTGGCCTGGACTCACTGTGTAGACCAGGCTGGCTTCAGTCTCACAGAGATCCACCTGCTTCTGCCTCCCCAGTGTACCACCATGCCTGGCTCATGTTGAGCTTTTTTTTTTTTTTTTTAATAACTGAACTCAGATCCTCATGATTCCCCTGGCACTGGGGTTAAGGACGGACGGTTCATAGTCGCCATGTGGGTGCTGGGAATTGAACCCAGGTCCTCTGCAACAGCAGTCTGTGTTCTTAACCGCTGAGCCATTTCTCCAGCCCCGAGCTTTTTTTTTTTAACTTTAAAAAAAAATTATTTTTTATGTGTGTGTATTGCCTGCATGTAGGTAAGTGCACCTGTGTCGTGCAGTGCCCGCAGAGGTCAGAAGAGGCCGTTGGAGCCCCTGGGATTGGAGTTACTGCCAGCTGCCAGCTGCCATGTGGGTGCTGGGATTCGAACCCGGGTCTTCTGAAAGAACAACCAGTGTTCTTAACCGCTGAGCCATCTCGCCAGCCCCTCATATTGAACTTTTTTTTTTTAAAAAAATTATTTTATGTGAATGAGTGCATTGCCTGCCTGTATATAAGTATACCCATGTTGTGCAATGCCCAAATAGGCTAGAAGACAGTGTTGGATCCCCTGGAACTGGAGTTACAGATGGTTGTTAGCTGCCATGTAGGTGCTGGGGACCAAACCCAGGTCCTCTGTATGAACAGTAAGTGCTCTTAACTAGTGAACCATCTCACCAGTCCCCATATTGAATTTCTTGATGTTTTCCACATGTGGGCTTCGGCCGGAAATTAGCAGAGTCACGGTTAATGTGGCAGTTGCCCCTTGAGATTATTGTGGTCCCAGGTACACCCAGGTCAGGAAGTCTGCCCCTCCTTGCCCCTGCTTTCTATCAGTGTGCTTTATGCCTGGGGACTCACTTTTGTGTGCCAGTTTTCTCATCTGTGACAGTGGTTGGTTGGCCCCATTAAGTGGGATAGGAGGTGGAGAAGGGTCCCCCAGGAGGTCTGTACAGCATGTTGTTTCCTGTGAAACGGGTGCCTTCATCTTCCCTCCTCATGTGGGACAACACCTGCATCACCCCCCCCCCCGCCAGCCTATCCTGTTTGATACGGTACCTCCTCCTCTCTGAACGTCCTCCCTCTGTCCTTGAAGGAATGGGGCCAAGAGGTGGAAGTGGTTTTATTGTATCAGTTCCCTCACTGGCAGCCTCCTGCCTCAGGGCCAGCAGCCTTGTGACAACATGGGTTGGGGACCGGTGTGTCCTTGAGCATTTAATGTTTGTGAGTGCTTACCACTGCAGTGTGAGGTTCTGTGCCAGGTGCTAGCCCTGGGTGCTCTCAGTAACAGAGGAAGGTTTTGGAAGAGTAGTCTGAGCATATATGTTATAGGAGTGTCATTATTGTGTGGTAATGGTCTTTTTGGATAGTGGTAAGCTCCGTACAGGTCCCAGCATACTTCTCAGGGAAACCCAACAGAGCAAGTAGACAAAGGCAGGGCCTGGGGCTCGTTTAGCCATGCTGTTTGGGGAAGGCCCTGTGTAAAGAGAATGCTTAAGAGACTGGAAGGATGAGAAGAGTGGAAACAATGAAGAGCAATATGTCCAGGGCAAGTGAGGGTTGTAGCCCATGGAGGCTGGAAGAGCAAGGGTGGGCTTCCAGGAGGCCTTTGAGAGCAGCCGGAGGCCACTGGGGTGCTGACTGCCCCTTCAGCAAGCTCTAGCTGGCAGGCTATGGAGGATGAAGTCTTCTCCCCGGGGTCTGGCAGTCAGTCATGTTGCAGATCTGAGGGTCTTGGGAGACAGTCAAAGTCAGAGCAGAGGGGACATCTGGACCTGGAAGAAGGGTTGAGAGTCTGGAAGAGCATTATAGGAGAGGGACTGGTGTCTGTGTCCCGAGCTGTAGTCACCTCTGACTCTGATCTGTCCTGGCTTCATCCAAGGTGGCCTGGGCCAGCAGCAGCCTCTGCCTCAGGTAGTTGGGAGGTTGTTAGGAGGCAAGTGAGGAACAGAAGCTGTGGTCAGCACTTAACTGTAGCAAGAGTTCCTGTCCTTGGGCCAGGTGGCCTCTGAGGTCAGGGAAGTCTCCTGATTTGTTCAGGTTTCAGTTCTTCCATCCTGTGTGATGAGGTGATGACTGCTTTGATCAGGGCAGTTGTGGCTTGGGTGTGTGTACACAGTATGTGTTGCTGAATAAGCAGCCAGGTGTGCAGGTTGGTCTGTGTCAGTTGGAGCCTCATTGGCCTCCTGTGGGGAGTGATAGGTAAAAAGTAGCCGTATGACGAATAGGGTTGATCAGGAGAAAGCAGTTTATTAGCAAAGGAACACATGGGACAGATTCCCTTCCAGGCAGGGAAAATGTCTACTGGGGTCGTGAGCTGGGGTCTTTTTTAAGGGGGAGGCTTCTGCTTCCTGCAGAAGGTGGGAAGATTTTTTTTTTTTAAGTTGGGGATGTGGGAGAGCAGGACTCTTAAAACCTGTCCTCTTTAGAGATCAAAGGGGAAGCCTGCTGTGTTGGCCAAACAGTGGAGAAAAGTCTGCTTCTCTTGACTTCAAAGACCAAGGTGCTTATCAACTCAGTTTCCTTTTCTTAGGAGCTTGAGAAGTCTGTGAGACCCTGTTGGTGAGGGGGGCGGGGCTATCTGAACCTTAACAGGGTGCAATGCATCAGAGCAGGTCAGGGACTCAGAACAGTGGTGCCATAGGACTCTGTGTGCTAGTCTGTGCCGACTAGTCTCCTGCTGAAACTGTTTATTGACATGGGTTTCTTTGGGGGCCCTGCTTGGGACTATCCTGTCCTGGGATCCCCAACCCCAGCTTTTCCTCTTCCCTGTCCAGGGCCTGGGTGTGGGGTGATGAGAGGATGGTTAAGCTGTGTTTGTGTGTGTGGTGTCCAGGCAACAGCCACAGCCTGGAGATGAGCATACTTCCTCTCTTTCTGCTGCCACCACCCTATACCTCACAGGCGGCCTTGGGTGATTTGCTGGGTTGGGCAGCAGCTGTGCACTAAGAGGTCATGGAGCATTTAAATTTGTTCAACAAATAAAGTGAATCTGAAGTTAGAAGTTCAAGTGCTATCCTTGTCCAGATATAGGGACAGTGGACACAGGCTTGTGGGGGTGGGCTGAGGTCACTGCAGGGCTTTTGGCCTTTGTTTGCAGGCTGTGATCCACACTCAGGACTTCAGCAGGCCTTAGGCTAGAGTGGGGAGGACAGTTGACTTTGGTTGTGAAGTGACTTCTTAGACTGCAGGAGAGGAACTTGGAGGCAGAGATGGTGGGCTCTGGGTTCACTGGCAGGACTGGGTACTGGTCGAGGCATTGAGTATATGGGGTGGTGGCACTGAGCTGGTGGTAGCCACCACGCAGGACAGACTTGACCCAAGAGTGGAATCCATGCCTGGGGCCTGTGTACCCGGGTCGGGGACCCAAATAGGGTGCTTGGTCACTGTTGCTGTTCCTCATCCAGCAGGGGTTCCTAGATGTCAGGGGCTCCTAGAAGAGTGTGACATGTTGATTGTGCCCATGTGCAGGGCGCCATGTTTTGGAAGTTTGACCTGCACACAAGCTCGCACCTGGACACTCTACTGGAGAAGGAAGACCTGAGCCTGCCTGAGCTGCTGGATGAGGAAGACGTCCTTCAGGAGTGCAAGGTTGTCAACAGAAAGCTGCTGGACTTCCTGCTACAGCCACCCCACCTGCAGGCCATGGTGGCCTGGGTCACCCAGGAGCCACCGGCCAGTGGCGAGGAGCGGCTGCGCTACAAGTGAGCCCATCACTGTCCTCTGTGGTGGCTTTGGGAATGAGGAAGTGAGGTGGGGAGGGCTGTGCCCTTTGCAGGGTCACACAGCTTACCTGGTATAGATCCTCCACAGCCCAGTTCTTTATAAGTGTTATATGATGGGATTCTTTAGGCACAGCAAGTGCAAGGCCTTAGAAGAAGTCCTACTTGACCCTTCATTGAACCTCAACTAGGGGCATGTTTTCCCATACTCATTTCATAGTTAACCATTCCCCTATTTTTTCCTTCCTTTTAAAATATTGTCCTATTTATTTATTTATTTATTTATTTATTTATAATTACAATAGGATCTCCTGTAGCCCAGGCTGGCCTTGAACTTGTTATGTCAAGGACGATTTTGAACTCCTGTTTCCACCTTCCAAGTGCTGAGATTACAGGCATGATGCTTGACTTCTTCCTGTGTGTGTGTGTGTGTGTGTGTGTGTGTGTGTATGTGTAGGGCAATGTGCATGCATGGAGGTCATAGGACAAATTTTGGGAGTTAGTTTGCCTTCACCGTGTGAATTCTGGGGATTGAACTCAGGCCATCAGTCTTGACCATTGGCCCTCTGCCTAATTTTTTGAAACAGAATCTCACTGAAGGAGCTCAGCAGTTTGGCTAGACATGTTGCCTAGCAAACTCCAGGCATTTGCCTGTCTGTCTCCCCAGGGCTGGGATTACAAGCACACACCACTGCACCCAGCATTGTACATGAGTGCAGGGATCTGAACTCCAGTCCTTACATGCGTAGCAAGTGCTTTTCTGACTGAGCTATCTCCCCAGCCCCTTTTGGAGGTTTTTTTTTTAAATTAAACTTTAAAAAATTTATTTATTT